TGGACTAGCAATGACTGAGCTACATTCTGAAGAGCAATTGGAATTACGAAATTACTCCTATTTTTCAGAGAATCTTTATTCTATGACTCACGAATGTTATCTAGAGGCGGTTGAAAAAATGAATCTGCTACTCGACTCTGAACAAAACACTTTGCAACAAACACCATCAACACAATCTATCTCTAACACTTTGAGTTTTCCTACATTTTTTCAGCACGCACGATTACCACGCATTGATATACCAAAGTTTAATGGAACTCCATCCGATTGGTTATCGTTCAAAGATTTATTTACTTCTTTGGTTTCAGCTAATCCTACATTGAGCTCAGTTGAAAAACTGCAATATTTAAAAACTAGTTTAACCGGATCTGCAGCTCATTTATTAAAGAACACAACACTCACAGCAGATAATTTCCAAAAGGCTTGGGAAGCACTAATTTCATTTTATGAGAACAAAAGACTTTTAGTTAATGCAGCCCTGCATTCATTATTATCATTGAAACGGATGACCAAGGAAACAGCCAACGAAATGGAACAACTATACACCAACATCACTCAAACCTACAGAACTCTTGAAACTTTACAAAGACCCGTTCAAGCATGGGATGACTTTCTTGTTTTTATAGCTGTGCAGCGTCTAGATTCTGAGTTTGTAAAAGCTTGGGAACATTATTTAGGCTCATCTAAAGAACCACCTACTTGGATTCAATTCACGGAATTCTTATTTACAAGCAAGTAAAATCCGAGTAAAATGGCAAAAGAGCCACGCGCAGTTTTTTGGGCGCAAAGATATATAATTTAAACCAAAAAATAAATTAAAAAATTAGAGAATTTCTTTAATTACATGATTCGCGAAATTCATTACTCTGTAGTTAGTTAGTGAGTTTAGTTAAGATTTTGCGTTGCTGAAAAATTTTTGCTGTCGACTTGTGCGTTGCGTCTCTTTTATGTAAGTCTTACTACTGTAATTTCTCTGCTCACATCTTACCTAAATTAACAACGACAATTCCATCTGTTGAAGTGGAAAAACCAGAATGGCCGCACATAAAAGGCCTTAAATTAGCAGATCCAGAGTTTATAATACCCGGATCTATTAACATCATACTCGGAGCAGATGTCTATGGTCAAATCATTGAAGATGGCATCATCAAAGGAGAACCAAACTCTCCCGTTGCTCAACTAACTAAACTCGAATGGATTATTTCTGTTCCATCAAGCTATGCAGCTTCATCGACTAGTAAACAAAGTTACCATGTCTCGATGGACAGAGCACTGCATGATTTATTACATTGTTTCTGGGAATTCAAAGAAATTCCATCACGAGTTATTTTTTAATGTCAACGGAAGAACAGGAATGTGAACGCCACTTCCAAAAAACTCATAGTCGCGATGAACAAGGACGCTACGTTGTTAGATTACCATTTAAGGATAATACTGCCAAATTAGGCGATTCTCGAAGAAAAGCGGTCCAAATGATTAAAAGCTTATCAAGAAAATTTGCTTCAGATCCATCATATGCACAATCCTATTCTGAATTCATAAATGAGTATGAGAAATTGCAACACCTGAAGCTCGTACAAGAAAACTCTATAAATTCGGAATCTCATCACCACTATTATCTTCCTCATCACGGAGTCGTTCGTGAACACAATCTAACAACAGAATTAAGAGTAGTTTTTAATGGACCTAGTCGCACGACCACGGGAGTTTTGCTGAATGACTTATTACACACAGGAGCAAAACTACAAGTTGACTTATTTGACGTATTAATCTGGTTTAGACAATTTTGTTACGTATTCTTTTCAGACATTGAAAAGATGTATAGACAAATCAAAGTCAATTCAGAATATTGGAACTTCCAACGAATCCTATGGATCAATCAATCCAACGATATCATCACGTATCAATTAACAACAGTAATTTATGGGCTAGCTTGTACACCATTTCTTGCACTTCGAACGTTGAAGCAATTAGTTGACGACGAGGGAGATAAATTTCCTCTTGCCATTCAAGTCCTAACCAAAGGACGTTATGTCGACGATTTATTCGGAGGATCTGATACCATTCAACAAGCGCAAAAGATAATCAAGGACGTTAACCAACTCTACATGGCGGGCGGATTTCCACTACAGAAATGGATAAGCAGTCACCCGTCGATCTTACAGTCAATTCCAACGGACAAGCAAATTACTACATCAACTTTACCAATTGAAGAAAACATGACTGTTCACGCCCTCGGACTTAACTGGAAACCAACGACCGACACTTTCCATTTCACTCTTCAGTTACCACCTACAAAGAAAATAACTAAACGATCAATTCTTTCGACCATTGCAAAGTTATTTGATCCTCTCGGACTGCTTTCACCAGTCATCATCAAAGCAAAAATCATTATTCAGGAGCTATGGTCTGTAAAACTTGACTGGGATGATCCCCTACCTTCTCTTATATCTAATCGATGGACTGCTTTTGTTGAACAACTCCAAGAAATGCCAAATCTAAGCTTTCCTCGTTGGTTAGGTTATAAATCCAAATCTAAGTCCTCGTTGGTTAGGTTATAAATCGGATCATCACATCGAACTACACGGATTTTGTGACGCTTCTCAACAAGCTATGTCTGCAGTAATTTATCTACGATCGACCTCAACAGGAGAGATACAAACCAGTATAATTTGTTCCAAAACAAAGGTAGCACCCTTGAAGAGACTCACCATCCCTCGTCTTGAACTTTCAGGAGCTGTGCTACTTACCAAATTAACCTCTCACATAATAAGGATCTTAGAGCTTGACAAAGTCTCAGTACATCTCTGGACCGATTCGTCAATCACTTACAACTGGATAAATAACCATCCTTCGCGCTGGAAAGATTTCGTGCATAACAGAGTTTGTTATATTCAAGAAACGGTACCTCAAGCTATTTGGCACTTTGTTCCAGGTCATGAAAATCCGGCTGATCTCGCTACGAGGGGATTAACTCCCAATCAGTTATCTGAAAAATTTAAGAAATTAGGCTCTCGAGTGAACTCACAAATTCAAATAATCGCGGGCTAGTAAGAGCCAGAACGCGGATGGCAGTGCGTCAGTTTCATAGAAAAATAAGTTTTCTATGAAACTGAATATGTGCACAGGGCACGAAATTTACTTGGTGTATACCAAGATTTTTTAAAAATTAATCTCAATTCGAGATTTATAATAATCCCTCTTTACCCCCCTGGAGAGACGAAGGCGAGAAAAATATCGGGGCGAAGTCGCTGAATCGGGAATCGAACCCGAGTCTTTCGCTTGCCGGGCGACTGCTCTTACCTCTGAGCTATTCAGACCCCACACCACCGATACTTCTCATTTGCCTTATAATATCTATTACTATTAACGCCATCTTTCAGCCGGCGTGAACTAACAAATTTAAGAAATTAGGCTCTCGAGTGAACTCACAAATTCAAATAATCGCGGGCTAGTAAGAGCCAGAACGCGGATGGCAGTGCGTCAGTTTCATAGAAAAATAAGTTTTCTATGAAACTGAATATGTGCACAGGGCACGAAATTTACTTGGTGTATACCAAGATTTTTTAAAAATTAATCTCAATTCGAGATTTATAATAATCCCTCTTTACCCCCCTGGAGAGACGAAGGCGAGAAAAATATCGGGGCGAAGTCGCTGAATCGGGAATCGAACCCGAGTCTTTCGCTTGCCGGGCGACTGCTCTTACCTCTGAGCTATTCAGACCCCACACCACCGATACTTCTCATTTGCCTTATAATATCTATTACTATTAACGCCATCTTTCAGCCGGCGTGAACTAACAAATTTAAGAAATTAGGCTCTCGAGTGAACTCACAAATTCAAATAATCGCGGGCTAGTAAGAGCCAGAACGCGGATGGCAGTGCGTCAGTTTCATAGAAAAATAAGTTTTCTATGAAACTGAATATGTGCACAGGGCACGAAATTTACTTGGTGTATACCAAGATTTTTTAAAAATTAATCTCAATTCGAGATTTATAATAATCCCTCTTTACCCCCCTGGAGAGACGAAGGCGAGAAAAATATCGGGGCGAAGTCGCTGAATCGGGAATCGAACCCGAGTCTTTCGCTTGCCGGGCGACTGCTCTTACCTCTGAGCTATTCAGACCCCACACCACCGATACTTCTCATTTGCCTTATAATATCTATTACTATTAACGCCATCTTTCAGCCGGCGTGAACTAACAAATTTAAGAAATTAGGCTCTCGAGTGAACTCACAAATTCAAATAATCGCGGGCTAGTAAGAGCCAGAACGCGTGAAACTGACGCACTGCCATCCGCGTTCTGGCTCTTACTAGCCCGCGATTATTTGAATTTGTCAGTTATCTGAAATGTCAATATGGTGGAATGGACCTCAATGGATTCTCCAACAACCTTCAATGTGGCCAAAGGAACATAAGGCAATTCCCTCGAAATATAACTTAGAAGAACGACAAGTTCAAATCTCCACCATCGCTACCAACAACGCTGTAGCACCGTGGAACCTTCTTAATAGATATTCAGACCTAACTCGACTTCTTCGTTTAACAGCAATATGTCGTCGGACAATTCAACGATTTCGAAGAACAAATAATTCATCCCTTACTTTACCAATTACTCCACAAGAACTGGAAGATGCCAAATTGTACTGGGTCAAAGTAGTACAGCAATATCGTTTCCAACAAAAAATCAAAATAATTTCGAAAGGACAACCTTTGTCTAAGTCAAATTCTCTTCTCAAGCTTACACCTTTTATGGACACTGAAGGACTATTAAGAATCGGAGGTCGTCTTCAATCTTCTCACTTACCCTCGAGCGCTAAACATCCTTTAATTCTTCCAAAGGAGTCCACACTAACTCAACTTATAATTGCTGATGCTCATCGACGTACAATGCATGGAGGAACCTAACTTACTCTATCCTTTATCAGAAATAACTATTGGATAACTGGAGGTCGAGCTCCTGTACGGTCTCACATTCTAAAATGCGTACGATGTGCTCGATATAGACAAAAGAGAGCACAACAAATAATGGGTCAGCTTCCAGTGGAAAAATTAACACCTTCTCATCCGTTCCTAAATTCCGGCGTGGATTATGCTGGACCCCTTATGATCAAAACCTGGAAGAGAAAGAATGCAAAAACTTATAAAGCGTATCTAGCGCTTTTTGTTTGTCATGCAACATCAGCTATACATCTCGAACTTGTAACAGACTACTCTACGGATGCATTCATAGCCGCGTACAAATTATTTACAGCAAGAAGAGGAATTTGCGCTACGCTTATGAGTGATTGCGGAACAAACCTCAGAGGAGCAGATTTTGAACTAACAAACCTATTTTCGACAGCTTCAAAGGAACTCGGAAATCTAGCAACAACATTAGCAAAGGACGGTACTCAATGGAAATTCAATCCTCCTTCCGCTCCTCACTTTGGAGGGAAATGGGAGGCAGGAGTTAAGTCAGTAAAGTATCATCTCAAACGAATTATCGGCGATGCACTACTTACATATGAAGAAATGACGACATTAATAACACAAATTGAAGCCGTTCTTAATTCTCGACTACTGAGCCTTCTCTCTGACGATCCAGAAGACCTTAATGCTTTAACTCTCGGTCACTTTTTAATTGGAAATGCGCCAGCCATCATACCAGAAACATCTTTGCAGACCATCAAAAGCTCACGGCTTTCTCGATGGCAACTACTACAACAAATGTTGGACAATTTCTGGGTACGCTGGTCTACGGAATGCTTACGAAGATACCTTGCTATTTACAAGTGGAATAAATCGGTTCCATCACTCAAAGAAGGTTCTCTTGTACTAGTCATTGAGAGATATTCTCCATCTAAATGGCCATTGGGAAGAGTCATTCAAATCCATCCTGGAAAGGATGGTCATACAAGAGTAGTCACAGTTCGTACTCAAATTTCGTCTTTCAAACGATCTATCGTGAAACTATGTCCTTTCCCGATCTAGTCAGTAAAGTATCATCTCAAACGAATTATCGGCGATGCACTACTTACATATGAAGAAATGACGACATTAATAACACAAATTGAAGCCGTTCTTAATTCTCGATCACTGAGCCCCCTCTCTGACGATCCAGAAGACCTTAATGCTTTAACTCCCGGTCACTTTTTAATTGGAAATGCGCCAGCCATTATACCAGAACCATCTTTAAAGACCATCAAAAGCTCACGCCTTTCTCGATGGCAACTACTACGGCAAATGCTGGATAATTTCTGGGTACGCTGGTCTACGGAATGCTTACAAAGATATCTTGCTATTTACAAGTGGAATTAATCGGTTCCATCACTCAAAGAAGGTTCTCTAGTACTAGTCATTGATGAGAGGTATCCTCAATCAAAATGGCCATTGGGAAGAGTCATTCAAACCCATCCTGGAAAGGATGGTCATACAAGAGTAGTCACCGTTCGCATTCAAATTTCGTCTTTTAAACGACCTATCGTGAAACAATGTCCTCTCCCGATGTCAGTGGATACTCTCTATCTCATTCGTTCGTTAACTCCCTGTTAACGAAGGCGGGCGGGAATGTTTAGAAAAGGAGTCATGCAGAATTTAAGTCGCGCGCCAGTCGTCTGCTATCGATTTTTGATTTATTCCTTGCGTTGTGAAGAGGTGTGATAGCGCTACGTATTTTTTGTTTATCTCTCTTCTTTTTTCCGGTTTCTTCCCCATTTTGGCTTTTGTTTAGCCATTACGTGAAAAAATCATTAAAAAGAGTCACGACGTTTACATCGCGTGTTGAGTCATATAGTGAATTTTAATTTGATCATTTTGAGTTTCAGTTCTAGATTGGATATTTATAATCGCTCTTCCCTCTATTAAAAGGATCTATTTCAAGGAATGCACTTTTAATCAGATACGTTATTAATAGCATTCGACTTCCTTCTGAGGCGACCACAAAGGGTTTTGATCAGTACCCTGGTTATTCTCTTTCTAAATTTACATGAGTACATTCTATTTCCATGAGGCCCCACTATTCTAGCCCATGGAAACATTTTGAGAAAGATATCAGAAGCATCTCTCTTTGTCTTTGTCTATGGACAAAGATTTCTCATTAAAGAGCATCACATTCAGAGTTGTAAATCGTAGTACTAGTCTCATTCGAAGATTCTGTTAAGGGGTTACACACCTTTGTCGAGTAAAAAAAATCGATTTTTTTTTATTGGCTTATTAAATTGTATATAGTTACAAAAATCAATGATTCAAAGCGCATTAAAATATTCATAAAATTGACAAAGATATGAACGAAAATGCGAGAGTGGACACGACTCACGCGCTCGACCGCTTGGTGTGCACCGAGCTCGAGACGCATCGAGACGCGCTCGACTGTGTACGAAGCCCTAAGTAAAGAAGAATTGCTGCAAAGGTGTCTAGGAGGTTATACACAAAACAATAATGAAAGCTATAATCAGAAAATTTGGAAGATCGCTTACACTTTCAATTTTAATTTAGAATCATTTATTATAACAATAAAAACAATTATCCTGCTTTCTTTTTTACTGTCATTCGCCTTAATTTACTTCTCAATAAAATAAAACTTGATTTTAAACACAGTCTTTTGCTTATTTTGATATTTTATTTGAAAATTTATTATATTTGTATTTTATAATAGTAGTTAGTGCTACAGTAGTTAGTTAGCCAGAGGCGGTCAGTTCGTGAGCTGGTTGTTTTAAGAATATTTGACACCAAATGCGTTTTGCATGTTCGCTTTGGTTAAAAAATATATACCAGAAGCGATCAATTCGTGAGCTGGTTGTTATTTCACACTAGATGCAATTTGCGTGTGTGTTAAAAAATATATGCCAGAGGCGATCAATTCGTGAACTGGTTGTTATTTCACACTAGATGCAATTTGCATGTGTGTTAAAAAATATATGCCAGAGGCGATATATTATTCTGTTGCGATGGAGACAAACAATGTATTATAAATGTTTATTACAAATATATAAACATTTATGTATACGAACAAAAAAAAAGACAATATAATATATATTTGTATAAATAATACATTGTTGTTATATATCCATTGATTATATCGATTGAAAAAAATTAGCTGCGTTGCATAGATCGCAACTTATAGAAAGTTACATGATAATATTAAGAATATATGTATATATATCATACACATACATCTGTATACGTCTATGTACATATTATACATATACATATATATATACACAATTATATATATAACACCTAACCAAATGTTATTCTTTTTGGAAGATATGTGGGAAGACACATAGCCCGTATGAACAATGTGAAATTATGTTCAAATATGTGATAAAGGCAGACACGTCTATATTATACTGTTATCTATACACTTAAATACGCTTAGATATGCGTGCGAGGCAATAAGAGCAGTAGAAATACACGATGCTGTCCGATTTCAACATATTGAACACAATTCTCTTTCAAATATGCATAGAACATGCAAAAATATTCATATCGGTAACAGCGGAACTAAAATTATTGATATTATCGATAATTTCGGTCGGTATTATCGATAATTTTAGTTACGCTTGGATAAGGGCGCTAACCCGTCGGAGTTCGGCCGTCACTTTTGGATCCCCTTAAAGGCA